AAGTTGTTTCGAGTACTCAAGCAAAGATTTATGTGCGAAGCGCCATTCCTTATTCCTGCCAGCACACAAGCGAAGCGGCGTGTGTTAATGCTACTACAATACTATTATTAATACGTATTACTATTATTAATAATAGTACTTCGAAGTAATAGGGTTATGTATTCGTTTTTAGAATTTGGAATTTCTAGTCCAATCGAAGAGCCAATGAAATTGTTTCAAACCAACATTCCAACCAATGGTTGTTTGACCCAAAGATATGGCACGCGAATACTTTATAACGTTATGTAATTTTTGAGCAGTATACAATTGACGGTATTAACTGTAAATTGTGCTTCACTGTCAAGTCGATTTCTCCAATAAACTGCCTGTCCAAATTTAGGTGTAGTATTATCACTTCAATAAGAAGACAGCGCCCAAAGCGTAAGCGGTACATCAATAAATCTGCCCGATTTGCAGTCTCGCGGTAAAATTGTACAGCCCCGGCGGGGTTATCAAAACTGTAAATAATCCGGATAGAGCTGTAAAATACAGTCGCTGGACCCGAATATATGTTTAAGGGCTTTATCTGTCATTTGATTGGGTAGGGGACTATACTCCGTATATCGCGTCAAAACGAAGTGGCCAATCCGATTAATTCAAAAGTTAAAGGTGCATAAAGAGTTCACATGTCAGTTTCAATATGCTTTGACTTCAGAAGCGGCAGAGAAACATATACAAAAGCGACAGCGCCTTAAACCCGCACGAACACGTCGCGGCCCAGCGCACGTCGTACGAATCCACAACATCTAATTAATAAAGTCATCACGTTATCACTTCAAGAGTGGTTTTGCTGTTGGGGACTGTCGGGAGAATTATTGGGGTTTGAAACGGTCGAAGCGTCTCCTGACCCTTGCGCGCTAGACGGAACACCGAGAGGCAAGGTCAGTCCGTGAGCCCACTGGGACCCTTCTGCAGGCTGACAATTTGGTCCATGTACAAACGGGAACTGGCTCTTGGAGTGAGAGGAAGCCTGGAAGCCATCCGCCACATCAATCATCCATTGCAGCGCATTTCGAACAGCTTGCAGGGTCCATGCATTGGGATCGGAGGGGTCGAACTTGGACAAGTGGTGGGTCTTGAGTACTCGTGTTTTGAGAAATGAGAGAGTCGCTTGGGGAGGCGAACTCCAAGGTTTCGTTTTGGACACTGAAGGAACGTCGGGCCACCATTTGTGGGCTGATGACCTCAGGTACTCTAGGACGCATTCTTCACCTCGATTCAAGACCAACTTCTTCAAAGTGATGGCCTGCTGGAGGTAGACCGGCCAGAACGCATGAGGATAGCTCAGAAAATGCATCAATTCCGGGCCGTGTGCTTTCAAGACGCGGTACAGGCACCCTGCAAGGCTTGTCATAGGACTCAAGAGTGCGTCAACATCGTTATCCGCCGATTTGGAGGAACACGGAAGGTACCAGCGATTCCAGACTGCTCTTGCATGAACAGCCCAGAACTCAACCAAAGCTTGATGCAAACTTGCCCACACCGGATCAACTCGGAATGCCACTGGCACGAATGACTCCTGAGATTGATACCGCTCCCAAGGCTTCTGATCCGCCAGCGCCTCGTACGCCAATACCACATCAGGAGGCAAGGTGTTGGGTTCCGGAGGGATGACTTGGTCGGAAGACGACGGACGGGATTTCTTACTCTTGATTGAGATATCACCGTCGAAAGAACGTTTGGCTCGGGCTGTCGACTGGGCCATGGTTACAGGATTGACAAGAGAGGGGGACGTTTCAGAAGCCCCAGAAGGCTGAGTAGGGACAGACCAGGAACGGATATCCTTGCCAACAACTCGGTTAAGGAATGGCGCCGCCCGTGGCGGCGACGATGCAGTTTCCCATAGGATGGCCACAGTGTCCATGTGTTCAGCAAAGATGTCCCGATCGTCGGCCACCCATGCAGCGAGCAGTTGGTCCACCCGAGATTCATTCTTGAGCCGAAAATTGGAAGCCACCCAGTCCCAAAACATTGGAACAGCGTCTTTGACGCAAGAACTGACTCTGGACGCAGACTCGTTTGCCTCGGACAGACTAGTCTTGAGTGAATGCTGCACTTCGATTGAGGCTGCCAGTTCGTCTTTCAGCTGTTGGTTGGCAGCTTGGAGGGACTTCAATTTTTCGTTCGCCTTGGCCAAATCGCGTCGAGCTCTGCGATCCGCGTCTTTGCGACCTTGAATGGCAGCATCCGTGGCGGCTTCTTTGGCCTTCACCAGGGACGCTGACCGTTGGGCTTGGCCAGATGCGTCTTTTAACGCATCCCGCAACTGTACCACGGTGGTCTCCTGGATTTCTAGCTGGCTCAGTTGTTTGTTGTTCATGGCCTTCTGGGATGTCAGAGCATTCTTCGTGCAATCGAGTAGGCTGTCAAGTCGTGCAATGTCCTGTTTGGCCACCTCGACCTCACCCTGGAGCTTTAGGACGAGGGTTGCTGCGTCGAGGGCCTCTGACGACATCTTCTTTTGAGCTGCCATCGCAGAGTCACGTTCCTTGATGGCTGCTTCCGTAGCCAGGCGGCTTTTTGCTAGTGCATCTTCGCTGGAGACTGCATGCTGTCGGGACTCGTTCAGCACTTCTTTCAGGTCCTCAGCAACAGACATGAGCTTGGAGTGCGTCTGCGTCACAGTGGATAACAAATCGTCTACGTTGGACAAAATCCCCGTGCGCTTCTGGTCCAAGCGCAACAATAACCTCGCATTTGCGGCAGACCCTGTCGTGCGCGCGTCAAGCAAGGTGGCCTGACTGTTGCTCGGCGTGGAAGCTTGTTCTTCCTCCTCCTCGTCTTGACCGACGAATTGCTTCTGCATGGATTCTTCTCCAATGGTGATGGTGCAGTCATATGCGTTTTTTATTTAACGCATAGAGGCGGAGTACGTTAAAGGTTCATTGGTATCCGGAAGTGATATTAATATTCTGTCAAAATTCGAGATCTGTCAAATATTTTGTCAATTAAACGCATCCCTCTCTCCGAGTAGTAAAGTGTCGTTGCGGCCTTTCGAATGGACGGCTACTGGAATATCGTGAGAAATTGGCACACACCGAATCCCATACGTCCAAGCCTCGAGTTATCAAACAAAGCGCAGAATATTTTAACATTGTTCTACGTTCTAGGTGGCACAAAGCCCTGCTTGCTGTCAAACGGTCAGCTGAGCGATATTCAAGCCACAGTACTGAGCGAATGTTACTACACACGTTACCGGCTGATGTTATGGACGACATCGAAGTTAGCATGTTATTAATATGCACGGACAATGCTGCAGTTTTCTGTAAGTATGTGTTTTTCATACAGTACCGTTTTTGTCGCATTTGACCCCCGTGAGGTAGTGTTTTGGCACGACAATGCTGCAGTTTTCTGTAAGTATGTATTTTTCATACTGTACTGTCCATTTTCAATGGGTACACTGTCCTTTCGAAAAAGTAGAAGGGCAATTGCCCGGGCACAAGTGCTCATCGAATGGGCACATCTCCTAATCTAATGGGCAAACGACGTAGATGTGCCAAATCAAATGGGCACACCGCGCTTTCTGACGAGCACAAGTGCAAATACCTCTCGGGCATTTCTCCTTTTTAACATTGTACCGGTAAGTGCAAAAAGGTGAGTATTAGTACACCTTTATTCGTTTAATTCAAGCTTTTTCGCAAGATATTTCCCTTGACATCTCACCTCACTCTATCAGCAATATATTTCAGAAATTTCTTTAATTTCACGCCGACTCCAAAAGTCGCGTTTATATTTCAGCAAACCATTGACATATTTCACAAAAAGACCTCTTGTTCATCAGGAAACGGCTGCTCGATGTCGCCAAGGTGGCTCCTGGGGCTTCACATTGTCGACAAGTCAAAAGCATAACATGTATCACTATACTCAACGCGATGTGTAAGTCAGCACAACCATTGCGTGTCTTCAGGTCTCGTTGTGGCTGTTCCATACGTTGGAAATGCCGATTTGCCAGCGTGTGGAATCGCGACAACGCGACTGAACGACACATGTCATGAAATGCCGAGAGGACATAGTCCTAACTGGCGTGCCTGTGAGAACCTTGCCATAGAGGGGAAGGAAAGGTGTCTATCAGGATACAAAACTTGTTCTCCTGGCAAGTGTCAGAATATATCACGCATGCGAAGTGTCTCCATATGTAGCTCGAAATCAAGAGGCTTTACCACTTGCACAATGAAACTATAGATGGAATATATGGTGGTAGGAACATTGCGGCAGTGTCATGCGATATGAACACCAAGGCTTACGCCAGGTCTTCATAGCTTATGTTTTGTGTGGTTGTGAGTGTTGCTGGGCAAGGATGTGAGGGGTTTGGAATGATGTAGCCTTGGCTTTCATTCCTGGTTTTACCTCGAACTGAGCTCTACTTTTGTGTGCGTGTTCTACCCCTGCCCTCCCCCACCCCCCGGCCTATCTTACCTCAGATGTCGGTGTGCACGGACTAACCCCGAAAAACGTTCAATAAATCTGGATACCGTTCAGCCAAGACTGAAAACCGTTCAAACTAATACTAGTATATGTAAACCCTAGTTAGATGAGGCATATGTTTTGTACTCTGACCATCACAACTCATACTGGGGGATTTAGCATTAACTGTAAACTTCGAAGTACCAGGTATGTGCACGCGGGGGTAGGACGACGTCTCGGGGTTACAGGGTTATTACGGGAAGAAAATTTGCTTGAACGGTTTCCAGTCTTGGCTAAACGGTATCCAGATTTCTTGAACGTTTTCCGGTGTGCACGGAGGTGCGGCACTGTTCCATTCAGGACTAACAGTACAGTAAAACACTAGGATGTCTTAATTCAGCTCAGCCTGAAAAACATTCAGCATAATCATGCACCTGTCTAACATACGGCGTGTGACGTTATCCTTTGCTGGACTCACAGTCAATGCAGTTGACAAGGAGCAATTCCCTCGCTGCAACAGTAGTAGTACTGTTGTTACGTAATCATTTTTCCCTGTAACCCCGGAACCTCTGGACCCCTTGCGCTTACATACAATACTATTCCCGGGGTTAAGCTGCATCACCAGTGGTTAGCTAACCGCTGAGATGCACTTAACCCCTACTAGTAGCTGAAATGAGTGGTTTAGAATTTACACTTGATTTGACTATGTGCCAGGAACAACGTGGGTTTTGTATGCCAAGGAGCCCAAATGATTACGTAACACCAGTCCGCGAGGGAATTGCTGAGTTAACAAGGAACAATACTTCGTATACGAAGATCATCCTGGTTTGAAGCACAGTGGATCCTCGATTTTTGCACCCTGGTATAAACGAATAACCTATGCAAGATAATATAATATTCACTTTGAAGGGAATTTGGAGAATCGATGAATGTTGAATGCCAGAATAGCAAAAGGTCTGTGGTTGAATGTGGTGCACTCCGTCACTTGCCTTGTCAATACAGACTAGCCAATTTCCGTCGACAACGACATGCTCACCCCCACGTTTAACTGTAAACTCAAGCGCCACAACGCCAAGAAGGCGTTCCTCCCACCATCAACGCCTTGTACTCGCAAGTGAGAAAAAGATATCCCACTTGCGAGTACAAGGCGTTGATGGTGGGCAGGAACGACTTCTTGGCGTTGTGGCGCTTGAGTTTACAGTTAAACGTGGGGGTGAGCAGGTCGTTGTCGACGGAAAATGACTCGGGTGCAAAGCGATGGCCTTGACCGTCTCAAAGCTGTGGAGTTCCACGGCTTTGCACACACGCTCAATGCCCTTATGCACCGCTTCCACCACCTACATGTCCACTTCTGGCACGACGATCGATACCCACCAGCACATCATGCAAACTGTCAATGTACATAGATGGCATTGGTTTCGGTACAGTAATATTAAGACTTGAGCTGATGTACTTGTTTCATGTAATTACTGATGTGGTTTTAACATAATGTGCTGTCTAATGCTTTCTATATGTGATATTTTCGCAAGTATTTCCTTGTATAGTCACTCTAGTTTAACCCTTGTTGGCAAGTACTAGTACTTACACTGTCATATTGTTGCATGAGTGCAAAAATCGAGGATCGGTGTTTCAATTTGACCTCTGAGCTGTAATACTGTATGTGTATGCTTTTGTACAGTTGATATAAATACATAATCTATGTATGTGTGTGTATATGAGGTTTTTCTTTGACCTACGAAATAGCTACGATTTATTATTCATCGCACCCTCTCCGTCCTTGCCGCCATGAAGGCTTATTTGTCGCACCACTCCGTCGTTCCCAGCACCGGGCAGGTGTCAGACCCTATACCCCACGAAGCAACACACCAATCAGTTTACAACCACAGCCCATGTCGTCTTGTCCCAGCTCCTGGTCCACTTTTTTGCTGACAAATCTAGGCACCAAAGTTCAAACTAGCAACTCCCTGAATTGGGCAAGTGTCTTTAGGTTTAACCTATAACGTTAGTGTACAATTATCCAAAGGCTAACAACGCCGTTTTTTAGTGCAAGGGAGCCAAATCTCGACCGCCGCAGCCGCAGCTGACAAGCCATGGCCCGACCGCCACGGATGCACTCCTGCCGCCTCCCACCTATGCCGCCGCTGCTGCAGCCCACCGATGCCGCCACCCACCGACGCTGGTGCCCTCCCCCGCTGCCGCCTTCCTCCACCGCCGTCCATCGTTGTCGCCGTCCACCGATGCTGCTGCCTACCGATGACGCTGCCCACCTACGTCGCTAGCCTACCCGCTCCGTCGCATGTCTTGTTGCCAAAGCCACGAACGAACGATGTCGCCACTCGAATAATGGTGTGTCCCGTGAACATGTTCATGGGCGGCAGTGAGCCCCATGTTGCAGTGTCGTGCCAGCAGCCCACGCATGCAAAGGTTTGGTGTCGTGGGCTGATGACATGAAACGGTTGGGGATCATGGCCGAACGTAGGCATGGCCGCGGGGCAGCGCTGCCACACGAGGTTAATTTATGTGTGCTGAAAGGAAAGAAGGTTGTGTCTCGCGAACATGCAACATGTTCTGCAGTGATCTACGTGATGCCGTTTCCTGCCAGCAGCCCACGCATGGGATTCCATGTCGTAGGCTGTTGGCATGAAATGGTGTGGTGTGGATCACTGCAGAACACGTGCATGTCCACGAGGCAGCTTTGAAGCAAGTGGAAGTGCCATGGCATATTGTTCGTGACCGAGGGCTATCCCCATGAGGTTTGTTGTTGTCGGCAGCCCGCGCACGAACGTCCGAGAGCACTTTGGACAAATATCTGTGGTCGTGGACATTAGCGACGTATTCAAACAAGAAGACCAAGATAAGCCACGACAGCCTCAGAATGTTACATAATAGTTAAGATACCTAAGTTGACGAGCTGTTTTCATGTGTATGTATATTCAGATAGAATGTGAATGGGGAAAGCTCGTAAAACCGCGAAACGGCCAATATATCAATAATGGTTTGGTCAAATACTACGTAGTATATAGATGATATACTACTGTAAACGCGAGTTTTGAAATTAACGGGTGAAATACGTTAGTACAGTATTGTCTCATATAACGTTAGTCACTACTTGATCCTAGTATGATCATATTTATCCAATCAAAAGGCATAATACAAAATCCTACCAAATATTACCCTATCCGAGATTTCTCATCCGTCTTTTTGGCCAATCATATCGTAGTGACCCAGCGCCCGACATAATCTGTCGGAACGGATTTGAAAATATGAATATCTTGATACTGAAAGTAAGTCTGACCATATTTTGTGATATATTCACCGACAGCGAGTGTACAGTAGGTACCGGTATTACAATGTGGAAGCTGTTACAACGTCCTGTTACCCCGGACGTTCGATTTCGCCTGGACACGTTGCGCAACAGCTCTCTGTCCGTCGAACGAGCCCTGTGATGAACCGCCTGTAGCTGCACCTAGCCTCTGCACCAGTTCGTATAACACGCTAACGTGAACCACTAGACAATGCTCTTTAGTCCATATTGACTTTGTAATGCACAATACAACATGCTAGTACATAGTAGTCCACAGAGTGCGAACAAAACACACAATAGCGTGGCATAGCTGTCCGTAGTACATAGAAACTCCCTCAGCAAGTCTAACCCAACTTCTCCTACCGCGAGCACTCATTCGACTCGAACCACCTAGCTTCTCATTTGTTGTAAAGAGGGAACGCTGACGTCGCCGGTATCCGATCATTGGCGGTGCTGCTCCGCTTACCAGGCGTTGTGGCCACGCCAAGCCGAGACCGTTGTCATGCTGTAGAGGCCTTGTGTATTCTGCTGCGCCGCCTCACATACCCGACCATTTCTTCGTCTTGGTGTCGTGCTCGACACTCATTCTTTTTATTGTCGAGCACGTCACCAAGCGCTTTGAAAGTTTATACATGTTGATGCATTGCTAGAGGTTTTTTGAACGACAGACTATCGTTCAGCCAGCCATTTTGCGGACAAATGCATCAATTGTAGACAGGTTTTGTCGTTCCGGAATTTGATCATAGAGGTTTTTTCGCCTGAGCGGAAAGAGAACGATATCGTTCATTGCGAAATCTCCTTAATAATTGTACTTCTTTTGGCATGTTTCTGCCTTGCTGTAGAGGTTTCGGGGGGTTGCTGTTCGGCTAGGCGTCCTGCATAGAACTGTAAATCTTAACTACCATCACATTCCGTGTGCATACTTTATTCCATATACACATGTTACCACATGCACACGGAATGTGATGGTAGTTATTTTTTACTTCGAAGTATTTAAATATGCAAGTGCAGCTTGACGATATTAGGTGACACCACTTCCTGATTGGGTACATTTTAACCAATCCTTGAGGCCACTCAAGTGGCCACATGCAGGACGTGAGCTCCACTCAGAACATACTCATTCAGAACCAACTGCATGCCTGGCGTTCGTGCACGACCTGTAATGTAAACCACACTGTAACAAACATACATCACCACGGCATCAATCGACACTCGCATCAGTGAGTCTTCGAGGTGCGGAGACGCCTTGCTGTTGTGGAGGGCGCAAGCGGGAGCGCACACCACACTGGTTGCCTGACTTTTGATATAATGACGAGCAATTTTGAATCAGCCAATTAGATCTCGTATCTCAAAAGCCTTTCTAACCAATCACAATGTATTATTTTACATTGATACTATTGGTTAAAATGGTTTTACATTTTCAAGCACAAATCTATAATAATATCCGTGGTACCACTATGCGCGAGTTTCCATGCAGTTCTCTGCTTCCTCGGGCTTGTGGAGAAGCCACGCCAACTCCTCCTCATCAGTCAGTACTACATGAGTGTAGGACTAGCTTGGACAAGGGTTCAGTAGAATTGCATGCATCGTGCTAGCTACTGTGATGGAACAGCGGTACAGTAGTACTGTCATCGCAGGAGCAGCCGGCGTGGTAATAGGCGAATTGGTGGTGGTGCTTGGTGCATCTGTGGTAGTCGCAGGAGCAGGTAGAGTACTTGCTACAGTATGTGATGGCGGTGATCGGATTTAATGACTGTGCAAGCGACTCGACAACTCCGCGTTACATACAAATGTATTCATCACTAAACGCGTGTTGTGCCATGCTGACCAGGTTTAGTCCAACAGTTGCTGGAATTGAAGTAGTATGCATGCATTGTGCTGGATTAAGAGTTCACTACGTAGCACTTTTGGTCACAGTGTCAGTGACTGTGAATTCCATTTATCGCCGCCTTATCGTGAAGTTATTCGTGTAGCGCCGGCATAGTTGAGGGGACCAGTGTGCAGTACGTGAAAAATCATAGGGATGCATACTGCTTCAGTAAACCAGGCTTTCTACTTTTCCCGACATGTCAATATGCACACAATCTCGATCCAAGAGATTGTGTAATAAATCATAACCAAACGATATAATATTGTATTCGTTTTTTGGATGGGGCGTCCGGCGGGGTCCGGCCAGGTTCGAGTGAGATGGTGGCGCAGCCGGCGAAAAACCAAGAACACCAGTCAACGGGCGCAGACCGGCAGATCGAGGCAGCAAAAAGCCACAGGGCGGGACACAGCGGCTGCAGAAAACGGTGGCGGTGACATAAGCGGTGGCAGAAGGCAGTTGGCAGACAGAAGGGGTGGCAGAAGCGGCGGTGGCTGCAGACAGAAGAGGTGGCGGCAGACAGCGGTAGACTACGACGGAGGCAAACAGAAGGGGTGGCGGCGACAACAGCAGTGGCAACAGACAGAAGCGGTGGTAGAGCGTGGTGGTGGAAGACAGTGGCGGTGGCGGAATGAGCGGCGGCATCAGACATAGGCCGGCAGAAGTGGTGGCGGTGGTAGGCAGAAGTGGTAGCGGCGGTGGCAGTCAGCGGCAAGCAGAAGCGACGGCAGCAGGGAGAAGCGCACACAGCGACGGGGGCACTTTGCGGCAGCACATCGCCTGCCTGCTGCAAATTGTAAAATGAGCAGTGATTTTGAATTGACCAATCATTATGCTTATGCGGATAACTAACCGGTTGTCGGAACGCTGTCGGAATAATCTGTTAAACGTTACCGATGAATATGATCAATATTCCGACCTCACTTAGTATTTGTATGCACTAATTTTGTCCAATGAATCGTCTCTATAATCTATTTCTACCTATCATATTGTAGTAGTATCTTATCAGTACTCTTATCCTACACCATTTTGACCAATCAAAGTCATTTAGGGGTAGGGTTAGCTGAATTTGTAAATCATATCCGCCCTTCGTTCACAACACTATTGCATTCGTGTCGTCCGACAATTCAATCCCGCCGCCGCCGCCGGGGTCTATTTGTACCGCGCTCAGTAGCACGCTCGGCGCCGCTTGAAGGATCAGCTCCCGCGGGGGGACATCACATTTGCTGGAGTCGATGCAGCCAACCGCGGATGGGTGCGCTTGTCGTTGACACTGGTCGTGGGGGTCGTGTTGCTCAAACTCGACTTGGTTCGACGTGCTGGACATCAAGGTCGTGACCATTTCGCGACTTCCGTGTAGTTGCTTCACGTGTATGCTTTATCATCAGCCAAACCAACCCAATCGTCATGATATTCATCGAGATGACCGTGCTTTGTCGATGTGTTGACCAACTTCCTCGCCTATGCGGCCTCCGACACATCCTGGATTACAATAAGCCACCAAGTCAACTCGACGTATACGTCAAAAGCACCGTTCGTTACCTTTGCCGCATCAGCTTGAAGAGTTCGTATTTTACTCTTCGTGTCAGCGATGTATCCAAACATCAGCAAATTGCTGGCGGCGACGAACTTGACCATTGATTATTTCGATCTGGCGAATCGTCGCTCTGTGTTTGGCATCCAGCAACACCGAGTCAATCGACGTGGTTCCTTGCATCAAAATCCTGTACGAACACTGCACCGCCGAGATCGCGTCTTGGTGGGTTTGTTTCACATGCAGCAACCTCCGACGACACGGCCAGGAATCGCGGGTCTCGTTCGAATGGTGGTAGTCGCTTTGTTGCCGTACTTGGGACCGGTCATGTTTCAGTTCACATATATACATACTGCCATTGCCCAAGATCGGATGGAACACGTCTGGCGCTTTCACGACCTGCACACTTGAACTGGATACATTTTTCAAAGCCATGGACTGCAAACCAAAACTGTCATGTCGACCTTGCTTGCTTGTCCTCTGTCGTTGCAATTGGTCCAACCGACGTAGCTGGTCGTCGGGTCAGTTCATATGTTAGGACAAGTACAGAAATGTCGCTTACTATGGAAAGTGTGCACCGTGAGTTGGGTTCGAGTTTACCTCACGACTCACATGGACAAACGTACGTACGTACAATCTGTTGCTGCAACGTCCCTAGTTGATCAGTCGTACTCTTGAGTTTTTCATGCTCGAGTCGCTACTTCATTTGTTGCTGCTGGTTACAGTAGCTCGCAACGATTGAATCTCGGCTTGGGTTTCCGATTCGTCCCGGTCCGCTCGATTGACCTAACTCACATGCATTGCTCGTCAATATGGCACGAACACCCTTGTTGGTTAGTACGTGTTGCGTGATGTCGACTAGAATGACACGGTCCTTCTTCTTGCTCCACATACTTCAGCAAGAATTGGGCCAATCAGGTTGCAGGAAACCATCACGAACGTTTAATTAGTGTGTGACGTCATTTAGTGTGATACCAATCACCAATAAAAGTCCGTTCAAAGAATATCAATCGATCGATTTGGCAACGAATCAACACAAAAGTCAACCAAATTTGGGTAAAAGAAACACAATACCTGTCGCGAATCCGTCGCCGTTTTGATCCTCTAGAGGGTGCTTTAGCGGATCCAACTGGACGCTCTTGGCCGTCTAACCAACTGCTTTAGTTTCAATCGTTGCCTTGTAGATATATTGACGTACTTAAAGTCGATGCCTGCGCAGCTTTTTTCGACGACTCAGCTCGTCGACTTTTTGCCGCTGCTCCTCGTCGTGCGCTGCCAGTTGTCCGACCGCTTGGGCTTCCCCCGCCAGATCATGGCCGCTCGTGCTGTTCACCTTCTCCTTTCCAAGATTCCTTCCTGCTCGTCGGCCATTTCACCGTTGCCGATCGCGGCTTGCGTCGACTTCAAGTGCTGGGCTGGAGTCATCCGCGAGACATCTCCGACCTAGGCAAGGATATGATGAGATCATCATGATGGAGAACGTGTCGTGGCATGCCTTATCCTGGGGTAAGAACTGGCACAAGTTGTCGATTTGAATCTTGGCCTTGGAGAGCACTTCCTTGACCTTGTTTTGGGTCGATTCCTTGCCGTCGATGTGCCACGTGGATCGGTGATCTTGTGCTGGACATAGTCGCCCATCTTGTCCGCGCGGCCAAGCACCTTGGTGGACCCGCCAAGCCTGACGCAAAGCGCGCACGCGATCGACGCCTTCCCAGAGCCATTGGGACCGATCACCAGGTTCAAGCACGGGACAGGGAACAGCTCCGCGTCGGCGTATGTGATGAAGTTGTGCAGTCGGATGCGGTAGATGAACCCGTGGACGTACTCTTCGTTCCACTCTGCGCCATCTTGCTTCCCTCGCCCTGGAGCCACAGGAAACATATACGTGTCGTCCGTCGCGCCACACTCGACCGCGCACCGGAAAAAAGTCGGCGTCGGTAGGGCAAACGTTCCCGCCGTTGGCAACTCTAACGGTGGGCTCTTTAGGTTGGGAGTTACTGGTTGTCAACGGCAAGAATGTTGAAAACATGACCGTCGACGACATCGCACGACTCGCTGGAGGCACGTCATGCAAGCAAGGACGTACACGAGCAGCGAATCCTCTCGTACGGTGTTGTGCATGTCTGATGGTCGTACAGGTTGAGATTACGTTCGAAACGATGATGGCCGAGCGATTTGTCAAGTAGAAAGCCGATTCAGGTGTCAAAGCCACCCCTGCCGCGAAACCTCCGACCAAATCCAAGGCCAAGGCGCCACCTGCCACCAATTCTACACACAAGGCATTGAGCGTTATTTTTTCGTGGGAAACTTTTGATGGTATAGTATTACTATAATATCTGTTAATACTATATAGTATAAACAGATAGTAATACTATACGATCCATAGTATTAGTAATACTAACCACCAACAGTTTCAAAAGCGTGCGTAGTAATACTGTAATACTGTTAGTGGTTAGTGTTACTAGATAGTAATACTAACCACTAACAGTATTACTAGACGAACTAGATAGTAATACTAACCACCTAAACAGTTTACCACTTCGAAGTACTACTGTATACAGTTTCACAGTAAGCTTACACTTTTTCCCTTCCAGAGCGAGTGTGTAGTATTAATAATACTAGTTATTATTGTGCTTTTCATGTAGTTTGCCCGTTGTTTAACTGCGTAAAACAACCAGAAGCCCGATTGAAGATAAAACAACGCTAAACATAAGTTCTGCATTTCAGCAGAATAAAACAACCCTTACTTTATTTCAGCTGCTAACTAATCGAGTTGAAGCACCAGGCCAACTTACGCCGTACAACAACCAGTTCATCACGATGCATACCGTATTAGGCTGTGAAATGGGAGTACTATACATCGTGTTGTCGTAGTGCGCCCTTGCCTTCCACGTACAGTGCTCAGGTTAGACCAGATCAAGAATTGTAGGTATGGCATAGCATTGAATCATTGGAC